CTCAGGTGTGTGGTGGTGACCTTGCGTGACCTCAGGTGTGTGGTGGTGACCTTGTGTGATCTTAGGTGTGTGGTGGTGACTTGTGTGACCTCAGGTGTGTGGTGGTGACCTTGTGTGACCTCAGGTGTGGTGGTGACCTTGCGTGACCTCAGGTGTGGTGGTGACCTTGTGTGACCTCAGGTGTGTGGTGGTGACCTTGTGTGATCTCAGGTGTGTGGTGGTGACTTGTGTGACCTCAGGTGTGTGGTGGTGACCTTGTGTGACCTCAGGTGTGTGGTGGTGACCTTGTGTGACCTCAGGTGTGTGGTGGTGACCTTGCGTGACCTCAGGTGTGTGGTGGTGACCTTGCGTGACCTCAGGTGTGTGGTGGTGACCTTGTGTGATCTTAGGTGTGTGGTGGTGACCTTGTGTGACCTCAGGTGTGTGGTGGTGACCTTGCGTGACCTCAGGTGTGTGGTGGTGACCTTGCGTGACCTCAGGTGTGTGGTGGTGACCTTGTGGGACCTCAGGTGTGGGATTGCAGCTTACCAAATGACATATCTGTTCGAGGTTGACTAAAAGAATACAGAAATTATTGTGAAATGTCTCACACTTATTACAAACTTACACAATGTTTCGAACCTACAAGGTTCATTCTCAAGTGAGGAGACAGGAGTTGTTCTTATTGTTGCTTTAGATTCAGCTCCTTGGAACAAAAAGTTCCAAGGAGCACACAGCCACACGCCGCTTCCGCTGTCAACCGTAACCACACCCTGGCAATACTTGTAACAGTTGATTGATTGACAGTTGAGAAGCGGGCCGAAAGAGCAAAGCTCAGCCCCTGCAAGCCCAATTAGGTGAATAGTTGGCTCAAAATGGAGCATTTCTAGCTTGGGGGAGGTTTCTCTAAATATATAACTTAATATTGCTTATAAATTGCTTGTTTCGGGAACTTCATTGTTTATCATAGAAAAGAGGGACGATGTGTGACTGTTGATTGCCTGAAAGGGCTGGTAAACACACTGATGAAGGTGTTAATTGCTTGGCTGTTCATGTCCCCCTGGAACAAGCGTTCCATTCGCTTCTAACTCTGAGGGGCGGGGCAGACCCGTTCCCTCTGTCCCAAAGCCAAGATGTGAGAATAGATGTTTGACCTGGATCTATCGGGATAGTCACTGTGGTAAAGACAAACAGCGTTGGTATAACGTTGAAACAACGTTGGGATAATGTTGAAACAACGTCGGTTGCGTTGTCTGCTGGGGGTGGCGATGTGGTCCGCCGTAACGGCAGACGCAGAGATCTGTGTTGTCTTCTCACGGTTTGTTGCTGCAGAATCTGGGTGAGTGCTTTTGTGGGTGGCTTTTGTTGCTGCGTGGCCGAGCTTGTTGGTGCTGTTTGTGTGTTACTAGCGGGGGGGGGGCGGATGGGGTTAGGTAGCGCCCGAGTCTCTCCCCCCCCCCCTCTCCCTCTCTCATATCTCTCTCCCTATCTCCACTCTCTTTCCCCTCTCTCTTGCCCTCTTCACATTTCTTCCCTCCACACTCCAACATAACCCTCTCTCACTTCTCTCCCCTGTCCCCTCCCTTCTCCAGCCTCTCTGAATCTCCCCCTTTTTTCACCACTCCCTCCTCTCTTTAACTCTTGCACCCCTCCACACCTGTCTCTCCCCTTTTTTCTTCCTTCTCTCCCACCATCCTCACTCTCCATGCCTCTGTGCCTCTTCTTCCCTATCACTGTCTCCAGAAATGTAATATTAAATTCACATTCATCGTTTCTAGTTGCGAAATCTAAGGATTCTGTCAGCTATCTTTCACCGGTTATGTAGGGGTGTCAATATTGGGCCCCGATCTTCCTCTTAATAGGACCGATAGGATTGACCATCCTATTTATATCCTGTACTCCAGACTATTCACCCTGCAAAGTTGGGTGAGGCTAGTCCCAACCATCTGGCCTTCAACCTTGAGCTGACAGACAATGGACATTCTCTTTCTCTCTCTCTCTCTCTCTCTCTCTCTCTCTCTCTCTATATATATATATATATATATATATATATATATATATATATATATATATATATATATATATATATCTGGGGTGTGAGTTTTCAGTTATATATATATATATATATATATATATATATATATATATATATATATATATATAAATATATATATATATATATATATATATATATATAATATATATATATATATATATATATATATATATATATATATATATATATATATATAATGTGTGTGTATGTAACACATTCACTCCAGCACATCAACTCCAACACACTCAACAAATTATCAAACACCCAGTCAGCCACTTATAACCACTCAGATCCACCTGTTAGCCAGTTAGCCATCCAAGTTAGTCAACCAGTCACCCATGCAGCCAGCCAGTAGAGAGGAAGCCATAAGACACTCGGGAACCACCGCCCGCAAGTCACTGTAATCGGTGCATGGGAGCGTCGAGGCCAGAACGCATGCACTGGGAGAAAGCATGGGAGAGGTGTGGGTGCGGCTCTTCTCCCTTAACTCGCTTCCCTCTTCTTCAATGTTATGTTTTCTTCTAGGCTTTCTCCTCTCCTCCCCTCCCCTCTGCTCTATACACTCCCTGGTTCTCTCTCTCCTCTCCCTAGCTCTCTTCTCTTTCCAACTTTCTCTCTCTTCTTCTCCTCTAAACGCCACCACTGCTGAGCAAACCCCAAACCTTACTGCCTAGCTGGCAACTCAAGTCAGCTGACCCGTGTTTACCTCAATATGAACCACATCTCTTCGTCACTTTCTGACTTTATCCGTAATCTTCTCTGTACTGAATGTTTACTTGGTAAACTATGTAATTATAGCGACTGGTAAATCAAAGCAGCAGGCGTATCTAATCCGTTTATTCTTTAATTATCCCCCGCTATGTAAACACTGTGATCAGCTGCGCCATGTAAACACTGATCAGCTGCTGCGTGGGACTTGTCCGAAACGCTGTGTTTGTGGCTTAGCGAGTACGTCTCTGTACTTAAACCTCCATTGTAGTTTTGGTTACATATAAAATAAATACACAAGCTATGAAAAAATGAATTATCTGTATTCAGTTTGTCATTGTCTTACGGGGTATACTTATATTTGGTGGAGGCTTAGGACATATTGAAACATCTGTTTGAACAGGTGATCATTTATTGTAAACATGTGTAAAGACCTAAGTAGAGAAAACCAATTTCCTCTCAAACACCTGTGATTGTTGTCTTCACCTCCAGCCCCTCACGCTGTTGTGTGACTCATCATCAATATATACACAATAGTCACAACGTTTAATTGATTTACGGGCTATTCATGCCCGTGCCACCTCTTGGGTGGCTTAATCAATCAACCGTTTATGTGACCATTGTAAGGAATTTCTAGCACGTTAATAAGCCTTTCAACTGATACTTCTCCTCACCTAACAGGAATATGAGCTCATGTGCCAACTATATTTCATCATCTGAACAGACACAGGCCGTGCTTCTTGCCCCGCTCCTGTGCCAGGTAAGTTACGGGCTCACCATAGCCCGTGCTACTTGGAACTTGTTCCGAGTAGCTGAATCTGTAACAACAACATATATTTCATCTGTATCGACAGGATTAGACAGTTCAGTTCCCTCTTTAACTAGCACTGCGTGATGGTCCGTACGACAAATCGACGCTGTTAATAATACTGAGAGAAATGACGTGTAGTGTGAGGGGGGGGGCAAAAATGAGGCTTACGGTCGAAATCTGGTTCCTTGTGTTCAGAGCACGTCGCTTTGTGGTAGGTGATGGCTGTGTCCAGGCTCTCCTGTGAACTGGCAGTGACTGGTGCAGTGACTGGTGCAGTGACTGGTGTAGTGACTGGTGCAGTGACTGGTGCAGTGACTGGTGTAGTGACTGGTGTAGTGACTGGTGCAGTGAGCGTTGTAGTGACTGGTGCAGTGAGCGTTGTAGTGACTGGTGTAGTGTAGTGACTGGTGCAGTGACTGGTGTACTGGTGCAGTGACTGGTGTAGTGACTGGTGCAGTGACTGGTGTAGTGACTGGTGCAGTGACTGGTGTACTGGTGCAGTAGCTGTTATACTACTGTTGCAGTGACGAAAGTTCGGAATAATTTGCAACATCGGAGCTGAATTCCATGTTGGTACAGCAGCGGTGTATAATATTTCTCTGGGACGAAATTTATCTCAATCTCGCACTGTAATAATGTGTTAATCTATATCATGTTTTATTAATGTATTTTATGCTGAATTATTGTAGTTCCTGCTGTATTATGAGTATATCATGTTGCATTATTGCATCTCGTGGTGTATTATTGTACATCATGATGTATTATTGTATATAATGATTTATTGTACCATACGGTTCTATTGTATATCATGCTGTATGGCTGCACATCATTCCTTTTTATTGTATCATGCTGTATTATTGTATCTCGCGCTGTATTAATCTCACTGTCTTCTGACACCACCCATTTCCTTGCATTTACTAGTCATGAACTCTAGTAACCACTTGTCTGTCACTGTCGCAGCATAGAGTATCGTGTAGCTGTCTGCGCTCACTCTCTAGCCTCACACCTCTCACCAGTTGACTGGTGTGTTGGTCTTCTGTGTTATTGTGTTGATGGATTGATGTGTTGGTCTCCTGTGTTGACTGAGAGTTAATGAGAATATTAGGGAATTAAACTCGAGAAATGATAACTAGACCGCTGATGAGTTGGCCAAACTGCCCCTCTGACTCCATTTAACAGATGATTGGTTACCGCTCCCCCCCCCCCCTCTGCCTTCACTTTCACCCCACCTCCTCACCCATCACCCATCCTCCTGCCCTTTCTTTCTCATCTTCATTCACACAGTGGCACGCACGCACACTCACGCACGCATGCACAAAGATTCAAAGCATTATATACGACCAAGAGTGCTGGGAAGACGGGACACCGCAAGCGTAGCGCTCATCCTGTAACTCCACTTAGGTAATTACACTTGGGTAATTACAGGCACGACTGGGAGAACTTGAGACGAGGCGCACCAGTCAGTGTGGAGTAGCAGGAGTGACCGGTCGGGTCTCCTCGCTCACTGTGCCTGCTCAACCCGTCCTCCTAAGGTTTTCTAACGTCAAGAAACTGTCGTACTAACCCTTGTCCTAACCTACCCGAGAATCCAAAAAACAGAAAACGGGGATAGTGTCAATTTTGTGAGTCGCTATTATTTTCTAGTACGGCGATTTTTTGCCTTAAAGTATACGTCAAAATGCGACGCTCTGTTAAGAGGACTGGTTGACCTGGTGACCGGTGTACCGTAGGGGACGTGCTGTCTCCGAGAGAGTTGGTCACTGCATCGTCCAGACCATCTTATTAAGCAGTGTACCATAGGGACTGGACACACTTACAACCGGTGATGTGGGGGCCGTGAGGGAGGGGAGAAGAGTGAGAGCTGTGGGAGAGGTAGTCAGCCTCCCACCCACCCACGGGCTCCAGTCCTCCAACGGTACCATATTAATTAACGGGAAGAGCTTCATGAAGACCACTTTACCGGACATTTCTCTCTGATAGAGCAGAGTTGGTTCAGAGAAGACAGGCTCAGTCAGGACGGCGCGCTGTTGGCGCGTTTGTTCCACAACAGAACATTGTGAGGTTCCTCCAGGAACGAGGAATAAGTGTCTGTTGTGCCATTTTGTTTCACTTCTCAGCCCTGTTTACTGCTGTTCCACGGCACTCGCCGCACCTAATTCCCACAGGAATTAACGGAATAAACAGATGAATCCTATCCACACCAGAGTGAAAACCCCCGTAGCACAGTGATAACAGAAACGCCCCTCCAGCAGTGAATGGGTATAACTGGTTGTTAAACGATTTGGCGGGTCGTATTCCGGGGAAAATTGCGATTAAGGCCTTGCCCGAAACGGTATGCGTGCTAGTGGCTTTACAAGACTGTTAGAATGTATAAATAAAATACAAATGAAAACATAAGACAAACTAGGGCAGTCCGCGTGAAGACCAGAGCAGATCAACGCTCTAAAGCCTCTAAGCTGAATTACAAGCAAACAAACGTGATTTCATGGGCGCCATTACTCTGGGAAAGAAAGACTGGAAGGAGTGTTTGGCCAAGATCCGAAGCAGTCGTGAATTCTGATCAAAAATACTACATCAACACTGATCTCTGCGATACGCAGAGGAGAAGGGGAGACTCGACCGGGGAACACGAAAGTTGTAAGTTGATTCTCTTGGTGTTTTGCTCCGCACCGCTCCTGTGCCAGGTAAGTCCACTACGGGCTCGCCATAGCCCGTGCTACTTGGAACTTGTTCAGAGTAGCTGAATTTATGATAATATCTATAACTTGGTGTTTTGTGTTCGTATCCTTGTGCTTGGGGTGGGATCGCAGGCTCCACCTCCCCAGGACCACTTCTTAGTTGCCGGTTTTTAGAGTGTATCTAACACAAATCGCCTCGCACTTTGTAAATGGTTCTATGTATAGATTTAGCCTCCACTGTCTTCAACCCCTAGCTCATTACACCTTGCCTTGTCATACCATAGATCATCCCTCTGTCTCCTACCATAGCCCATTCCACTTATTAATTACTCGTACACGGTGACCTCTCGTCATATTCCTGAACACACTGTTCTTGTACACTCAACAACTCTGATCATTATGAAAGTTGTGATCATGTCTCCGTGTTTCTTCTCTTCTGATAATACGAGATTTTCTCTTCATAATCCACCTCTTAAAGTTCTTGTACAAGCTTAATTGGCAAATCATTGTAGTTTTAAGATTGTGTGGGTGGGGAAGGGGGTGGGAGGGTGTGATTACTATTTGTACCTGAAAGTTCGAGATGATAGCTCTTGGACCCCTGCCTTTCTAACCATTGATTATCTAACGTACTGACTCAACCCATTTTCACACTGTCATATCTACTATAGGTAGAATTTCTACCTGCATTAGATTGCATTAGAATCTACCTGGGTAAATTGTAATCTACAAGGTCGGTGTGACCTTTCATGTTGCACGCGCACACACACCTACACACACACACACACACCTAGGTGAGCACAGTGGGAAAAAAATTATATGATCTCTGATGCAATATTCCCAGGGGGATTCCAAGTGATAAGGAAAGAAAGACAACAAAGGCAAGGAGGAGGAGTTGCACTCGTGGTAAAATGGGAGTGGAAATTCAAAGAACTCAAGAATCTGAGTGAAAATGAATACACAGACGCCATCATTGGGACACTGGCAGCAGATGGAAGAATTATTGTGGTCCTGGTAATTTACAACCCCCCACCAAACAGAAGACCCAGGCAGGAATACGATGACAACAAAAAAGCATGCATAGAGGCATTGCAGAGAGCAGCAACATTGGCACACAGAATGAGAGCTAAACTTCTAGTCATGGGGAACCTAAATCAGAGAGAGTGACTGAGAATCCAGAAATCCTCATGGTGGGGAAGAAACGTGGGGAGCGAAATCAGTGGAAGTTGCTTAAAGAAACTTCTTAACACCACATGTAAATGAAGACAAAAGAGAAAGAAGAGATAACCAATCCTACTGGACTTGATCATCACTTAGAATGAGGAAGACATTAAGAACTTAAGAGCAGGAAATACCACTAGGAGCAAGTGACCGTTGTGTCCTGGTATTCGACTACATGACGGAACTCAGAACAGTGCCCATAAGACAAGGAGTCAGGGAAGGGAGAGCAGACAATAAAAAAGATGACTACATAAAAGAGAGTATCTGGGAAGTGTGCAATGGGAGGAGGAACTTGAAGGGAAGACAGTCTAGGGAGGGAATGGAGCAAACACAAAAGGCAAAGGACAGAGGTAAACCGGAATACATGTAGATGCAACAGGGCCAGGAATGACTACATAAACATAAGAAGATTAACAGAAACTATGAAAATGATATTGCCTCGCAACCAAAACTCCTACATAGCCATATGTAATTTTATTTTTATAATTTATTTTTCCAGGTACAGCCAGGTACCCCCCATAGTCTTGGTAGTACAGTCCAGTTGATTCTCAACTCACAATCTGGACTCCACAGTTCAAATCCTGAGAGGTTAAAAATGTATAAAATCTATCAGTTTAAAGTATAACTTTATTATTTTACATTGTACCAGTTCTTATTATAACCATCAATGCTGTATGTAACCTCAGCCATAGAGGTTATATGACCATAGAGTAATATATGGTGATATACAGTTATATATATAGTGTGTGTGTGTGTGTGGTTAATAATTTTATTTTAATACTACAGTATATCATAATTTGTCTAAAAATTTCTTTGTTTACAGAATCATGTCCTACTTTACCTTTTTTGCTCTGTATTTATTAGTACAATTAAAAATCCATTTCATCTGTTTCACAGCATCATGTGTTGTCTGCTTCGTTTGGTGGTGGTGATGGCAATGGCACTATCTGGGAGAGCAGAATCTGGCACCCCGCTGCCGTACCTTCATATGTTGGTGAGCTGCTATTACATAGTAGTAAATATACAGTACTGTATAAATGTCTTTTGCTACAACCTTGATTTCTTTAAGTACAGTATTGTATTCCACTATAAATATTACTTATATTTTTACTCTTATTGTAGCCACAGTATATATTTTATCCTATATATACATTATACATCCTATATTTTATTGTTAAGAGAATATTTACACCCTCTAATTTTGCTAAATCCAACTAAATCCAACTAAGATACTGGAGACATGTTTTGAGAAACTTGAGAATGGTTAAACCACAAGAAACTGATGACGCGAATTAGAGGTTGGTTACACCCTCGTGGAACGGAACAGTCATTGGCCATTTGGAGGTAGCCGAGTGGAGGTGATTGGTTCATTACTCTAGCAGTAGAAAATATAACTGTCTGCAGTATAGCTGGGAAAGTGGTCAAGAAGCTGCTTATTACCGTGTGCTTCACAGGAAAACAGTTTTGGGGAGAGAAAAATTGTTGATGCCTTCATACTGTTTTCTTTTCTGTTCTTTTATTTCAACACGGTAAAATCCAGATACTGTGCTCACACTTTGCCATAAATATACATTATTAAAATAACCAACCACTTTCACCTGAATTTACCTGTAAGCCACTATCTCCCTAGTGGCCTCAATGAGGCCAGGAAGTATCTGGATTTTAGACTTGACATTTACAGCTTTGGCAGGTAGGTAGTTCCATGGGTTTATAACCCTGTGTGAAAAAAAACTTTTTTTTTATGTCCAACATTGTGGCTTGAGCTTCAAGCTATTGCCTCTTGTATACATTACAGTTGCCCTTTCAAAGAAGTGGTCTGGATTAATATCCTCCACTTGTTCCGTGGTAACATATGGTAACAACCATGGACATCTTCAAGAGGAAACTAGATGGTTTCCTTCAAGGAGTGCCGGACCAACCGGGCTGTGGTGGGTATGTGGGCCTGCGGGACACTCCAAGCAACAGCCTAGTGAACCAAATTCTCAAAAGTCCCCCCTGGCCTTGGGCCGGGCCTGGGGAGTAGAAAAACTCCCAGAACCCCATCAACCTGATACCAACCAGGTAAACCAGGTTCAGCATTTTAAAGGTCTCGATTAGATCAGCTGTCATGTTAAGCTTACAATGTTAGTCCTGTGGTCCTCAGCCGTTCCTGGTATGAGAGTTGACTGAGTTCTGGGATGATTTTTGTCACTGTGTTGAACTTTCTCCAACGTAGATATATTCTTTTAGAGGTGAGGGCTCAATGCTTGGATACACTAGTCAAAATGAAGGGGCACCAGAGATTTGTACAGTTGAATAACCACTTTCTTATCCTTAGAGTCAAAAGTTTGTTTGACTATTCCTAGGGTTTGGTTAGTATTTTTATTGCAGCTCCCACTTACTGTGCAATTTTGAATGACTGGTGGATTCTGACGCCAAGGTCCTGTTCGTCATCAATCTGTTGTAAGGTAATGTTCTTGATATAGTTGTTGTGATGTGCATTGTGCCCCACATGCAAGGTTTTGCAGTTTTCAATGACTGCTGGATCTTAGTTCTTGCATCTTGCATTGCATGATAGTGCTATTGATATGTTAGTTGTGTATTATTCCCTAAATGCAAGGTTTTGCAGTTTTCAATATTGAAAAGCATTTGCCAGTCATCTAACCATTTGTAGACTTTGTGTGGCCTCAGTATCATTTTCACTTCCTGCTTTACCACAGATTTTAAGCATCTGCAAATTTGATGATGTGGCTTGTAATATTCTTATGTCATTGAAGTATATGATAAAAAGAGTTGGCCCCAAGATGGAACCTTGCATTCCACATGGATCACTGAGGATCAAAAGTTGACCCTGCAATATGTGACAGCATCGCTCCTCTGACCACTCCAAGTGATTAGTAATTTTGAGTGCATAATTATCACAAAGGTAGACCAAAAATTCATTGTAGTACTGCATTTGCAAGGGAAGATGGGTGATGTGGGAGGGGGTATAGACCTTAACTCAGTCAGCCCTGGTACATATACAGTGGTGAGCTTCACTAAACCTAGACTAATTATAAATAAGCCATCCTTCTGTGACACATGCACAGGTAATTTACCTGCCACTATACCTAGCCTGATCAACTTCAAAATATCCCCACTGTAACAACAATTCCTTAATGTCTATTGCCCTGATCCTCCCCTTTGCTCTCTATATGCAGGCAACACTTGCTTGACCATCCTAATTATTTTCCTAGTGTTGCTAAATGGCTATTTTACCTGTTGGCTACTACAGTATGTTATCTCCAGTAGTTGTGGACAAGTTAGGGAACTGATGGCTTGTGTGTAGTTTCCCAGACTTCCTGATATGATTTTCTAGCGAAATTTTGAAAAACTAAAACTTCATAGGTAGGTGGCTAAACAGGTTGATAATCTTTTGAGGATAAAAATTTTTGGTCCTGCTGTCTGGCCTACCTTGAAGCTTGGTGCACTTAAAACTATTGCCTCTTGTGCGAGTCAATTTAGACGTTTTAAATTACTGATCAGAACAACGCTCTACAAGTTGTTCATTATTATAGAAGTTCTGCTGTGAACAAAGGTTGTAACCAAAACACATTTATAATTCCTATTTATTTATAGTAATACTATACAGCCTCCATTCATAAAGACATTTCTTAAATCTAAGAAAAAATTTATAACAATAAACTAGACCAAAAACAGATACTAAAGTTAAAATTTTATTTCACAGGATGTTAACATTACTTCTGACGAGAAGATAAGGCAATCGGCTCTCACCAATACAAGACTTGCTGTCCACGAGTTAAAAGATTTGAGCTTCAGCAATGATGGTAGTGTCGGTTCTACAGACACGCCCCTAGAAAACTGTACAGAACCCTTCGAAGTGCTTCCAACACCCGAGTCATTGATCCGTCATTGGCACAGAGATCAGGACTTGCTGCCACAAGGGTACATAAATCGACACTATATATTTAACCCTAGGAAAGATAACCTGGGTTATTTTCAGCATTTAATGAGAATCCCTCGGCCCCCACAAGCATTTAATCCATACAACATCAGGCAACACCCTATGAATCCAATTCTGAATCAAGATCATACCAATCGTGCATTTAATTACATTCAGAATCAAAAAATAAATCTACAAAACTTAACCCCAGTGCCACTAAGGATTAACATGTGGAATGCTGGTCTCCGAAGAACAACAAATGGTCTTGCTCAAAACCAGTTCTCTCCCTCACACAACATTCCAAGGCCCAGCCCTAACACACACACCTACACTAAACCACCTTATTTACCTCGAAGACATCCAGGGAATCTACAGCAAGATAAATTTCAACTGCTGAATAGCAAGCAGCCTGAAGCTTACCCAAGTGATCCAGAAATTGAAATATCTATTCATGACTTAACTAGCGTATTCTACAGGGAAAATAACGCTCCTTTACATTTTCCCATCTTGCAAACTTCAGCTAGTCATAACACTGACAGAGTAAATAGAGTAAAAAACTTACAAATTAAAAGTTACAGAGATCCAGTTTCAACTGACACTCAAAGATCTTTTAATACCAACAAGAGACCAATTTTGAACTCGCAGACTGATCTTGTTTATCCTAGAACTCCTCCAAAATCATTTAGTGCAGCAATGGCTCGAGACACAACTCTCCACACTGACTCAATAGCAGATCAGGTTCTCTATGACCCCGAGCGTTACCCACCGAGTGTGTCCTTTGGAGATTCATACTATGTCCAAAATCCTCCAATTGGCACTCGTCGTGTACATGAAACTGAACAACACATTGACAAGACTATATATTACAAGCCAAATATATACAACAGAAACAATCGGTTCAGTGACCAAGCACATACAAGGAATATTTACAGAACAAAACCAGATGGAAAACAATTTTCATATGATCAGCTTTCTACAATTCAAAATTTAAATGATCAAAGATATCAAAATATAGATCATAATTCTCAGAGGAGCATTGTAGGGCTTGGATATGCCAAGCTGCCTAATGGTTATGAGTCGCCAACAACAACATTCGAAGTGTTGGCCGACAGAGACAAGCAAGAAAGCACTGATAATGCTCTATTGACCACTAACAGTCTAGAAGAGATGGCTAAGAACAATTCTACAACACTTTTCAATGGTCATGGTGGTCCCTTTCTCTTAATTTAGCATCTTGGATGGAAACAAGGCTAAACTAAATGACAGTGTACAGTATTTTGACCACTAAATACAAACAAGTACACGATGAAAATTTGTAGTGTGCATGCATATATATATATATATATACATAGGAACACACACAAAATGACCCATCACAACTGTAAAAACAAGTGACACTTAACTTAATCCACATCAGAAATACAGTAGTAAAAAAAAATTCAAAAACCTTTGCTCATTTGCCTGCTGGCAATATACCCTCTCATCTATCTCATATATTTGATCACACATACCTACTCTGCAGATAGCTAAATTTTTTCCAAGTTTACCTAAAATCCAAGCTTGAAACGCACACTGAATTATTGTCCAGAGGCTGTGACATACAAACACTTACATGCTGTTTTGCATGACATTTGGCAAAACTTGCACACTTTTTAACACTTTCACTGCATATGATATGCATGATATACCATGTCTCGACATACCATGTGTTTGTACAAAATGCTTGCATGTACAGTACACCTTTTGCTGGTTTAGATCCGATGCCTATGTATATGGACAGCACAAAACATCCATCAGACAATGTAACATAGCAATGTGAGAATCGGGCTGGGCTACAGTTATGTATCCGTGGAAGGTAGCTACAACCTGTGTGTGTGAAAAACTTGGTTATGCTTTGTAAAATTAAATGATTAAATATCCAGTCATTAAACTCTTTAGACCTGCTGGTATATGGTACCTGGAGATCTACAATTGCTTTATCCATTCTTGTGTACTGAAAATATCCTAATATTGAAATCGAAAGCATGCTGGCGATTTCATGCCTTTGTATGACGAACCATCCTGTGAATTGGAGAACTTAGTACAATATAAATCACAAAAAACTGTAATCTTTTGTAAGTGTAGTGTAGCCACATAATTGTGGATATACCCAAGTACAGTATGCTAATAAAATAAAAACTTAAAATAGACCACTGTTATCATACACAATAAATTTGTAGTCTGTATATTTAGAAATGTCCTTTGAAGAAGCCAATTCTGAAAAAATATGGGCATAATGAAATGTAATTTTTCTATATTCACCAATGTACATGTATTTACATTTAAAAATACTTTCAACATCAACTTTAAAAGTAATTTTTGTATTCAATAAATTATATTATTATTTACAATCTGTATAAAGGTTAGATCAAGCTTATCATAAAGAGTACAATAATGAAAAATAATACAGTACTGCACTCAAGACAAATTACACAATAATACAGAACAAAGCCAACAACAGGAACAAATGTAATACAATACTGTACTATAATTCCAAACTCTGCAAATACTGATACAGTTGTTACATAACATCTGAGGTTGAGTGGCAGTCAAAGCAGTCACACAAAATAGTAGCATTGTACCACTACCAATGTTGAGGCCGATATGTCAGTACACTGCTGCAAAATAGTGCCCCTGTATGTCTCTTTCTTGTCTGCAGTTGACCTTGAAAACCTTGCTGAATACTCTTTTGTACTCATGTATAGTGTACACAATTATAAACAGAATAAAATTTTCTAATTACTGTATAATGAATGAAACAAAATACTCTTAATATCCTTGGGACATTTCAAGATTATAAGATATTCATGTGGTTTTAACATTATTTAACAGTTCCCATATAGACTGTCTCTCTAGATGTCATTTGTATACTTTCCTGTAATGGATGGACACGTAGAACTTCGGCCGTATTCCCCTCAAACCAAGCAGTAATGTGTGCAGTATCAACATTGAAATAATAGAGAAGGGAAGAGCATTTTTGTCTGCGGTACGCTGAGCGTGGATCCTCACTAAGCACGCTGCTAATAGCAGCTGTCAGTTCAGCATCATCTCCAAGGAACTCTAGTCTGTCGATAAAATATGGAGTCACTATAAAATTTGTTTTTGATTATGGACACCTAGGTTTCAATTAAATAAATTTTATCAGCTAAGTAACTCCACCTGTTCATTGATCAAAATGAATGAATCCGAGTGCTGACATTTATATATTGCAACTTTAATATTTCAGTTTTCTACATTTTGCACAGTAATTGGGAATTGTATGTTTATTGCAATATTTTAATGTGTAACAGCAAATGACTATATTAATTGCAAAATACTTACCTGTAACAATCTTCTGCACTCTGTGAAAAGCGTTTAACTTGGGCCTCGGCTATTGGGTTAAATATAACTCGAAGTGCAGCAGATGGAGGAGCTTCAAGCCATGATGCAGTTATCACCTCTTCTGCTCTTTCTGCCTCCCCTGATGAGTCAAGTTGTTTACACCCAGCACGATGGTTCTGAATATTTGTATGCTTATTGCCTGAAACTGGCTGTAACTTATTTCCTTTGCTCAACCGAGAAACGGCATTTTCCTTTATCCTACAAGACATAAAATCACCTTTGTCACAGGATAGTAAAGCTCTCCCAAAATTAGTGCCAGAGACAATCAAGCTGCCTGAATTACTTACTTGGTCATCTTTCCCAGATTCCTTATTAATAACTTGCAAGGCATCTGTATCACACTGTTTTGGAAAATGCGGGCTAATTATTTTGGAATCAAACACCGTTACATTTGTCTTATTGTGTCCTTTGCTCTTTTTGCCAGATGAACATTCTTCCAAACATATTGGCCTATAGCTTGGGGCACTTTGCTTCACTTTAGGTTCATTACAACCCCCTGAAATGGTCACACTACAGTAGGAATTTTCTTTAACAATTATTTCAGTCATATTGACTGTTTTCTTGTTCTCAAGGAGTCTGCACTCTTTGCCGTCAGTTCTTCTCTCCTGAGAAGTTAAGTTATCCAAAGTAGATGAAATAGGTTGAGGTGCATCATACTGGGGAATATAAGGCTTGATGTCCAATACTGGTGTTCCATCTAAGATATCTATCCCAGACAAGTACAAGGAGTCATCTGAAACATTGATAAGACAATCAGAAAAAAAAATAAAGTTGCTAAGTCTTCTGCACATAGATTTCATGTGTTCTCATATTTTCTTATCATAAACTGTAATATATATAATAAATGTTTTGAATACCAACAAATTTATATAATTGATCCAAATTAAGTCTCAAAGAAAGAAAGAAAAAAGTTAAAATGCATGAAAGGTATTTGACAGGACAAGATGTTGCACAGTACCTTGGACTCTTTCCAATCGGGCCAATGTAAGGCCAAGAGGATTGGGTCTGTGTGGAGATCGGGTTGCAAACACACCAACTCGCTCGCCATTAAGTCTTGGAGGTGCTACTTTAGTCTTGCTATGGCCCAGTGCCTTTTCATCATTTTGGTCAAATACAAAGAAGATCCTATAGACAAGAATTTGAATGCTCACACTATGTAAATAATTATAAATATTATTTACCAAAAAAAACATAGCACACAGTCACACGATATTATGTTTTAAAATGTCTGAGCAGCTTTAAAATCCAATTATCTGCAACAACCCAATAAATAAGGCTTTGTGACAACAACAACAAATGTTTTATATATGCAGACAACTCGGTTGCTTCCTAAGACAAATATCTGCTGAATCATAGATCAATTTATGTACAATCAGGCAAGATAATATTCCAAACACCAGTACCACAGGAACCATCTTGAATGTCCCCTGCAAGGTCTTTAAACATGCTACAGATGCACTGGAGAAAAGCTCAATCTTGCCCAGAATGACCACCAGAGATCCATTTATAAGAGACAAAGTCATACTGAATATTCTTTTAGGAGCATAAGTGATTGCCAAATGACCGCTCATTAATTCCTAGATAGCCACACTATACATACTTTAGGTTCCCGGAACACCACAAATGCTTCCTGAAGCAAACATAGAAACCGTGCACAATAAAATAAGAACAGTTTTTTCTTCAAGTACAGTACATTAATTCTGAATAATCATACTCATTTGCTTGATAAAGTAAGCATCTGTAACAGATGCAAAAAAAACAATAAATAAAAATGAGGAAGGTAGGTCTTTGATGTAGAGGTACCTAAAGAATGAAGGGTGCAGAAAAACACCCATTAGATAGAAGCCATTAGATAGAAGCCAGTAGATAGTGGTACCAGAACCACCAACACACAGGAATGCAGGTCTTCTTGCAGAAAGACACCTGTGATCCTGTGAAGGTAGTGGGAGAAAGGACCTATAAAGACACTGCAGATAAAGAATGATGAAGAAAATGTCTCAAATTCAATGGAGCTAAATATAGAATTTCTACCTGAGGGGAAAATAATACCAGGTTTGGTAAAAGGTCAACATGAGAGAAAGCCAGGGTGGGAATGGCAACACAATACCAGCTGCCTACACACAACTCCATCTTATACAAAAGCAATACTGTAGTAATATCCTGACTGAAGGAAAATAAAGAAGACCTCCTACTTGATCTACAGAATTCATAAGAATAATGGAAACAGCAGAAAGCTTAATGGCCCACAGGAGACAGCTCCTATATATATCCATCCAAATTCAATCATGTATAATGTCTACTTTATTCTTAAAACATTCCAGCAATATATCCTCTATTATGTTACCTGGCAATTTGTTCCATAAGTCAACAGCCTTATTTCCCAACCAATATTTATGCAGGTATTTCCTGAATTTAAAATTATCCCAATTTATATCCAATGTTTATTGTTCTATTTTGTGTTGACACATTTAAAAGTTTATTTATATCCCCTTTATTATTCCCTTTCATCCACTTGTATATTTCAATCATCATCCTTTACACTTTGTCTTTCTACAGAATGTAAATTAGGCTTTATAATTCCTCTTCATAAGGAAGGTTTCAAATTCTTAGGATTAACTTCATCCTTCTCTTTATGTGCTCAGATGAATTTATGTCCATTCTATAATGGAGACAAAAACTGAATCATATGCTGTAATCTAAATGGAACCCTAACAACGGTGAGATAAAGATGAAGAATAACATTAAATATCTTACTGCTAATACTTCTAGAAATAAATCCTAGTATTTTATTTTATTTTTCTGTGCATTTAAGCATTGATTTTTTGGTTTAATATCCCAACTAATCATCACTCAGATCTTTTTCTAATCCAGCTTTATTAATTCAGCATTGTCCAGCAGATATCTGGTAACTACTGTATATGTGGCTTCTGCAATTTCTGTACCCAAGTACTGAATCCTACATTTTCATCATTAAACTACATCTGCCAATCTTTCATTTATTTTTAAGAGCCTATCTATATCATCTCGTAGCACTTTTATGTCTTCTTATGGGAAGACATAAGCACAGAAATGGTGCTGTGACATGGTCAGAGACCAGACCATGAGGAATGTTGATCCCCGAAACCAACAACACGTAGGTCAGCGAGGTTGGCCAGGCAAGCAGACTAACAGTTTGTGGGCCCTCGTTTACCAGTGGCTTCTCAAACTAAATGAGGATTACGTCTGGCTTTGAATAAGCTTATATCCAGATCCTTGAGCAAATTTAAATACCCTCCAGGGCTGTATGAAATGATCCCTGCATTAACAGTGCATACACTGTTGTCCTATCTGACTGTACACAAATCCAGTCTATGACCCTGCAGATACTTAACTCAGGTAGCAACAGTGTGTGATAGCTTTGCAAAAATAACTTGCATTTGCAAATCTCAAAAATATATAGAACAGCATATACAGTATATATATATACAGTATAAAAGTCTTACCACACATGAGAATACTCATGCAATCCCTCAAGTGCATGATGAGGATTGTTGAACACACTTCTGTCCACCTTCAGAATACCACGGCTGAGAGTACTCACACTGCCTTGCCGTGGTGTTCCATTTTTGGTTCGGAACCATGATATGATGTGCCCTGTTAATAGATTACAAATCAGTAAAATATTCTAGCCCAATTTCTCCTATAGAGGGTTTTCGATAAAAATCATGGGACCGAGCACTTTTATTTTATTTAATTGCTGAAAAAGATGTTGTGAATGGCAAAGATGGTTAAAACAACATTCTATGGTTGGTTTTTATTTTGATTCTTCCATAGTTTTTGTGTTCCCCCCAGTGAAGTAAGTCACGGCATGACTTTTGATAACATGGTTCAGGGGACTGATAAAATACTAGGCATGAAGGTGAAAACTCTGCAATCAGGTTTTCTTGATTGACAATCATCATATGTTGGGAATAAAAGTTAGAATAAAAGAAGGTACAGTAAATAAATTATTTTATTTTTTTATAAATATTATCATTTTTAGACTATTTTTAATGCATTGTTTACATATTACTGTATTTGTATGTGTAAATATTAGCAATGTTGTGCTTTATTGTTTTCAGTAAGAAACCACTTCCCCCCCCCAAAAAAAATAATTTAATAGTGAAAAAAATCTTGATACAATGGAAACCTTAAAAGTTTGAAATTAATAAATTAAATGTAGTTTTGTCAAGTTTTTAATGGAAAATTTTCTTCATCAGTATTGTTTCTTATGCATCAAGTGTACAAGACATACTTTATAATTCTTTAAATTTTCTTGAGGGGCACCATCTCTAGTGCTCTTGACAGTGACAGGCAGCTAGAGGTTTATCAAAGGTCCCCCATTACTCCTGAGGATTTTTTCCATGTAAATTTTAAATAGAAGTACTGTACACTATATTGGAAAGATATAAGAATAAAAACTGCATAATAGAATATTATGTATCCCTTATTGACAAACATTAAATTCTGGTGATATCAGATTTGTGTTAGGCGAGTCGTGTGTACAAATTGATTTAGAGCCTTGCTTGTCCTTGAATTTGTTTATGTAAAATACTGAGGCTATGCAAATTTCTGTACAAGGGTCCTGTAGTAGGGGCAACTGGCCCATGATGCTTGTAAAATGTATCAAAGTACATGTACAGGTACAGTATTTTGGTTACTGATGATACTTAATAGTTTGTTCCAGTCATCAACAACTTTTAATCTAGCAAGATATATTCCAAATGCTGGGGATTGATTATTTTTGTAATTCTTCATCATACAGCATGTTTTCAAGAGAATTTATGTTTATTTTTCTGTAGTATAGTGACATAGTCTCCCCCGGCTTGGTGCCTTCTTTTATTAATTATTTACCCCTCTGTAGTATAGTGATCCGAACAACACAAGTAAGGCCTCATTAGCACAAGGTAAAACTGAAAGATAACATTATAATTCCTGTTGCTTACCCTATTAGATATAAATCAAGCAATGTATCATTATGATCTTACTGTATCCTTATATATACTGTTATCTTGGTTTTAGGTTATTAAGGTTATTAGTCATTATTCTCAAACCTCTTTTGCAAATGTGTTTACTAATATCCACATTTTGCGGTAATATCACTCATCATATTATTATTCCAAACTTAAAAATTGAAATTTTTAGCACTGAATATCATCTGTTCTTACCAGTCCAAATTTGAAGTTTATTGAGTCCTCTTCCTCAGAGTCTTCCAAAGAATTTAAATTGTGTCCTATTTTTCTATTGCTTGCAAATTTACTTACAGTATGCTGTACTGTATTGTTATTTACTACAAAAATTAAGATTAATGGACTGTATATCATTAGAAATAAAAGTACTAGGACAGGACCCTGGGGCATGCCAATAAGGACTGTTACCCACTTAGATATAGTAATAGTACAGTAATCTGTTGACTGTTACCTACTTAGATATAGTAATAATACAGTAATCTGTTGACTGTTACCTACTTAGATATAGTAATAATACAGTAATCTGTTGACTGTTACCTACTTAGATATAGTAATAATACAGTAAATTGTTGACTGTTACCTACTTAGATATAGTAATAATACAGTAATCTGTTTTCTGTTAATAATGATTTAATTCAATTTGGCATTTGACCTCTGATGCCATGTGTTTCAATTTTCCTATTTAAAAATCTCATCTAAAGCAGTGTCAGTAATTAATATACTAATATTATACAATAAGTACAGTATAGAATATCTGGGCTCATAATATGATCCCAAATTTGCTAATGCCACTGAAAAAAAATCTAGTTTAAACTTACCTATTGGCTTCCAAGTACTAAAGCGATTTGATTTAGTGTCCCCTCCGTAACTAGGTTGACAACCAGATTTTTGCACTAAGTCCCCCTTCAGAGGCTGGCCACGAGTAAGCAGCTTCTCCAGGTGTGAAATATCTTTGCGATGCTGAGCTTGTAAACCCTGCATTCTTTTCCTGAAATGATTATTTCTAGATAACATAGTAAATGAACATGACAATTACAAATGGAGATGATAATCATATACATAAAGGTGCTCTTTAAAATGTTCCAGCCTCCTCCGTTACAACAGCTGGTATAATGTCACAGGAAAACTAGTCACAAAAGGAAAAAAAGGAAAGTTCCTGTTTTTAATCACAAAAAGATTTGAATAAAATATAAAAAGTTAAGATTCTCTGTTTAAGAAATGTATAAGAGCTAATTATATGATCCAATCTTGTAAGACTTGCCTCTCAAATAAATGCTGACTTACTATGGAGAAAAGAGTAAAACATCCATTCATATATAAACTTTATACACTAATATATGGGAGCTGTCATTCAAGTTATTAACATTTTTAAAAGCAATACCCAAGTTTTGGAAATTGTATAAAACTGTTCACAAGTTCTTGATGAAAGTTATGGCATACTTAATGCAACTGCAGTAATTGGAAACAAAATCAGCACTTGGAAAATAATCATGAACATCCTGAGATCCAGTCAACACACACACAAAAAAAAATAGATCAAATCAATAACTAAATTTAATAATGTTCTTTCTTTTCAACAGTTAGGGTTAACCTTGTCAAAAATGCCTTACAGATCCAGACAAACACTGCTGTCACCAGTAGCTGTCCCACCTTACTATACCCATTACCAATTGGTCTATCAGAAATTGTTGTAGCCTTCAGCATCTCCATAAAACACTCAAAACATGAGTCAGAAACATAACTTAAATGTCAGTACCACAATATAAAAAAATAGCTGTTTGATAACTGACACCAGCCACTGCTTTACTATTCCACAATTTCTTGAATTTCAAACAATTTCTGATGCATACAATAAAAAGCACAGCAGCTCTAGTATGCAAGAGAAGATATCATTGAGAAACAATTACTATAACAATTGGAAAGCAATTACTGTAGGTATTATTATTCCAATCTACTAACAGAGGGTGTTACAACAAATATTCTACTAGATATAGAAAAGAGGTACAAAATACAGAATACAGTCAATAGAATTTGTCCCTATTGTAACAGTTGTTGAGATGACTTGAGTAGAGACTTGGGATGGTACTTGACTTACGAGACATTCACAGGGAGGTGAGGTGGGGTTACACAAACCTCACCTCGAGTAGTTCAAAGGTTGGAAGGCTATCCCTTGTTACCAGATTAAAATCCGTCCATTCAACGGATAATTGCGGATAGATGGGTATAACAGCTCATTACGAGAGAGGGAAAGGCGAGTGTGTTCTGTGTCTCAGTCCAGACCGGAGTCTGGGGTCTAGTGTTGGGCATCACAGGGGAAGGGAGACTGACGATCTGGTATCTACACGGAAGCTTCAACACTGCTTCCTATTCCTTCCTTCAAACTTCATCTTTCAGAGTAGTTAGTAAATGTAATGCACTAGGCAGTGATGTGGTGGAGGCTGACTCCATACACAGTTTCAAATGTAGATATGATAAAGCCCAGTAGGCTCAGGAATCTGTACATCAGTTGATTGACGGTTGAGAAGCGGGACCAAAGAGCCAGAGCTCAACCCCTGCAAGCACAATTAGGTGAGTACTGCTGTATCTTGAGTGAGTACTGGTCCCTTATGTTCTAACATCACAAGTATTGATAATTCAATTCAAGTCACCTCAACAACTGATAAACTATTGTACACTATATTCTTTACCACTGTTCAATGGAACTTTTTATACATCAGTTTGTAGTTAATTTCTGGGGTAAATTTCATGCTAATTTGGTATCCAACCACTTGGGCTGGACAGTAGAGCAACGGTCTTGCTTTATTCAGGTCAGTGTTCAATCCCCGACCATCCAAAGTGGTCGAGCACTATTCCTTCTCCCTGACCCATCCTAAAACCTTATCCTGATCCTTTCCTAGTGTTATATAGTTGTAATGGCTTGGTGCTTTCCCCAGATGGTTCCCCCTACAAAGGATGCCACAAAGCTGTGGTTTGTAGTCTATTATATGTCTAATATAAAACTGCCTAAAATACATTACTGTATACCTAAAGAAGGCTTAAATATATTAAATATCACAAACCAAGCTGCAAAAATCAAACCTAACTCAACTTGGCAGCTCATCATGGAGTTAAAAAAAATGTACTGCCTCACCTTAGGTTATTAAGTTCATTTCGAGCTTGTGTGAGCTGCCTGGAAAGATCCACGGTGTTGGTCATTATTATTGTTCTTGAGTTAGGCACATCTATAGCAAAAGGCCACATAAACCTTGTTGCTTTCGTGGGGGGGGAAAACTTGAAGCCAAGAGGCTATACGTTGCCTGTCAGCAGAAAAACTACTGCACCTTGAAGCAGATAAACACATTGTAAGGAAGATGTTTGGTGACCCTTGGTGTTCCCCAGAGAGGAGCGTGCTGCACCCCCTCCATCCCCCCCTCCACACACATACAGAACACTATCTATTGACTTTAAACAATTGAGGTATCAGGAGTCTTGTGTATGCTAGCTAGCCAAACAAGGTTGAAGCTGATTGGCAGAATCAAATTCCCCCTTAAACTCAAAACCCAATTGTGCAAAACTGCAACATCTTCCAGTGACTTCCTGCACAGCAAGAGCCAGATGCACACCACACCCAGAGTGGTAAACCGAGTGATAGACGGTAAACCGAGTGGTAGACGGTAAACCGAGTTGTAGACGGTTGGAACAAGTTAGGTGAGGTTGTGGAAGCCAAAACCGTCAGTAATTTCAAAGCGTTATATGAAAAGAGTACTGGAAAGACGGGTCACCACGAGCGCAACTCTCCTCCTGTAACTACACTTGGGTAATTACACTCAAAGGGCACACTAGGGGTCCACCAAGACCCACCAACTCTCGGCACTTCTCGGCCTAGCCGGTGCCAGACACGGTCTCTCTACCCCGAAGAGCCAATCGGAAACAGGGACAAAAACAGGAAAAATATCTATCAGCTTTCGTGACCCCAGACTTCCCGTTGTCTGGTGTTGTTGGGGGACGACGATAGTGGGATCTGATGCGCCTGGTGGTCTTCAGGGGCCAAGAAGTCCGTGATTGTAAACAAATCCGGCAAAAACAAAACAAATCCGGGTGGTTCGTCAGCCGAATCTGACTTCAGCTTTTACTGTTTTCCCATCCAGCAGCACTCTTTATTATTGTTGTTTACAATTATGTTAATTAAATACCTAAACAAATTTTAATTAAAATACTTGATAAGTATTTTGAAATAAATTATTTAAATTTAGAAAAAAAATCAAAATCCGCCAACAAAAAAAAATAAAAAATCATGGCATGGCAGGTTTGGATGTTTTTGTTGGTGGATTTAAAGTTTTTTGTTAGTGCATTTTGAAGTTTTTGTTGATTCATTTGGATTTTTTTTGTAAGCCCATTTATAATTTTTGTTGGCTGATCTATTATTTTATTGGCGTACTGTATAGTATTTGGAATTTTTTATTGGCGGCCTTGGAAATTTGTCGCTGGCGTACTTGGAAATTTTATGTTGGCAGATTTGGTATTTTCAATTAGCAATTTGAATTATTTCTTGGCGAATTTAGAATGTTTTTGTTGGTGGGTCTTATATATTTATATATATATATTTATATATATATATATATATATATATATATATGTCGTACCTAGTAGCCAGAACTCACTTCTCAGCCTACAATGCAAGGCCCGATTTGCCTAATAAGCCAAGTTTTCATGAATTAATATATTTTCTCTAATTTTGTTCTTATGAAATGATAAAGCAACCCATTTCATTATGTAAGAGGTCAATTTTTTTTTATTGGAGTTAAAATTAACGTAGATATATGACCGAACCTAACCAACCCTACCTAACCTAACCTAACCTATCTTTATAGGTTAGGTTAGGTTAGATAGCCGAAAAAGTTAGGTTAGGTTAGGTTAGGTAGGTTAGGTAGTCGAAAAGCAATTAATTCATGAAAACTTGGCTTACTAGGCAAATTGGGCCTTGCATAGTAGGCTCAGAAGTGAGTTCTGGCTACTAGGTACGACATATATATATATATATATATATATATATATATATATATATATATATATACATATAAATATATATATATATATATATATATATATATATATATATATATATATATATATATATATATATATATATATATATATATATATATATATATATATATATATATATATATATATATATATATATATATATATATATACATATATATATATATATATATATATATATATATATATATATATATATATATATATATATATACATATATATATATATATATATATATATATATATATATATATATATATATATATATATATATATATATATATATGCGGAAAATCCATAGTCGATCAAGGCTGTTGTCAACACCAGACTGACATCCCTCCCCCCACAAAAAAAAATGCAAAAAATCCAATATATATATATATATATATATATATATATATATATATATATATATATATACTGTACTGTATCCCTTTTTTATATATTTACACTAAATTAATAAAAGTGCTTTAAGAATATGATAAATACTACAGATAATAGGATAAAGAAGGAAAAAATGTATCATAAAATATTTGTATTTAACAAACAGTACAGTGAGAAAAACTGCACATGATCCATACAGTTATCCAAGTGATGTATTACCTTTCAAAGGCATAATCTGATGACTAGTAATAATAATAATGATGATAATATTAACGAGAGGACGCTAGATGCAATATACAGCTCTGAGAAGCATGAGGCATGCTCAGCACAGTGTTAAATACCTTGCCCTCCTAGGCCAAACTTCCAACCGTAAAACTTACAAGCAGAGCTTCTGGAACTTAAAACATATTCCATGACTGCTAAGCCAAAAGATACAGTACTGAATACAGAATATACCCACCCAACATGTCCCACCTCAAACATAATTTACAACCTAATATGCACAATAATGTTCCAAAAGTGTAAAGGTGCTGAATTTTTAAACCTAAAGACCATTTAGGCAACAAAGCAATTCAATAACAAAACTTATTTCATTCACAAAATTAAAAAAAAAAAAGTTCTTGCTGTGTCCTATAAATTAAAACTCGATACCCATTTTCTTTGTACAATCAATAAAAAGGACACTTGTAACACTGGTTTCAAAGGGCTTTATATCTTAAAAGCTAATCTACACATTACTGATAGTTCTCTCAGCATGCATGTTGATATATATATATATATATATATATATATATATATATATATATATATATATATATATATATATATATATATATATATATATATATATATATATATATATATATATACGTATGTATGTATGTATGTGTGTGTATGTATGTTGTACGTAATTGCCAGAATGCCTTAGTACTAGCAAGGCCCAATTTGCCTAACAAGCCTAGTTTTCCTGAAATTAAATAGTTTTAATTTTTTCTTATGAAATGATAAAGCATTCCATCATACAGTATTACATATGATTTTTCTTGTTTTAATTGGAGTTAAAACCAATGTAGAATTATGACCAAACCTAACCTACCTAACCCAACCTATCCTAACATAGCTAAGTCAGTAATTCATGTTCATTATATAATAGGCTAATAATATTAATTCAAATAAACCAATTTGAACTTCTTTTTTTTTAATAATGAAAACCACTCTGCCTGTTAGACAAATCAGGCCTTACATACTAATTCAAAAAGTGCATTCTGGTATTATTAGATACAACATATATACCTTGGCCACTTAGTCTCTAGAGACTTCTGGCAACAAAAGGCTTAATCTTACATCTGTTGAATTGTGAAACAAGTTCCCACATATTCTAACATCCAGGAATGGTATCCACACTGTGTGGACTTACATAAAAAAAACACATCCATGGATATTCACAAATCCACCCAGTAATGTGTGGATTTTCCCAAGGGCACCATGAAAAGCTGTCCTGATCAAACCTTCGGTGCAACACTGATGCCGAGTTAACACACCAACAAACATAGCTACCTGAATATCATACATCTTTCATTGTATGAGCAGAGGATCCTCCTATAAGCAACCACCTTTATGTTTATTTGCAAAAGCATAATTAATCCAGCAGTGTCCCAAGCAGTAAACTTACCAGTGGGCTGTAAGTGTACTTGCCTGTGGTAGGCAGTTTCAAAGTCCTGCTAAACTGATGGGGGGCAACGTGTGTTCTACATGGTGCACTACAAGCAGTACCTCTGTGTCTGCCTTGTGGAGCATAACTGGTATGCAGATTGTATTCTAATAGCATTTTTATTACCACAATGACCCAAATAAGTGGCTATGGGGTCAAGTAGTAAAACTACAAGCAGTGCCACCCAACCCAAACATTATTTACTAACAAGATGTGTTAAAAACTGCATATAAAATAATACAATAAAATTTGTAAATAAAATACAGCACTGACCTTGTACAATAATAAAAACACATCTTGTTTCAAAACTTTTTTTCTAAGCTGAGGTACAGACTTAACACAGAGGTAGCTTTTATTGAGTTAAGTACACACAAAAACTGACCCACAAGAAAAAAGCTTCAGGAGCATACAAGGATGCACTGGGAAAATGTTAAAGGGTAACCACCAGTATACTCAAACAATATTACAGTAACCAACGCGAACACACTGGTGATGATAAATGGTTAACCATATAAAGCTCTTGGGTGCACATCCACAGTCTTCTTCTACAGACCACTATGGTACATCTTTTTTTCTAAATAGGCATGCAATAGACTCCCTAAGACATCTTCTTAGGGAGTCTTCTCATCTAAAACAAATAGGCTCAATGAATAGAAACTTCATTAGGATTCAATATACCTTATGTTGTTTTCAGTGGACTGATCTTTATCTGTTAAACCCCTTAAACTAGGTAAGTGTATTGTCTGAGTTTTAAGGTGTGGTCCTGGTGCACATGACAAGAGCAATTTTCCCAACAGATTTAAAAGTATAAGACAGTAACTACTAAACTATTTTTGTTATGTATCAACTTTCTTATTTTATATGACCTAGTATCTGATACATTTAACATAAAAACTGAGTTGCATTAAATATACATATTAATAAAGTTAGATAAGCTCTTATTCTTGAGATATAATGAATATGACCTTCACCCTTGTTGCAATGTTCACTTAAATCCACCACTGTATTTGACACAGCACTCAATTTTTTCCTGCTGACAAGCTGAACTTGTAAAGATATTCAGAATGAGATCATATTCATACTTGAACAAAATACACATCATATGACACTGGCCATTGTTATCACAGTAAAAAGGCTTTTTATTCTAGAGAACTTGTGAAATGAATACCAAAGGTCAAGAAATCAAACAAATGTTAAACATAATAACTAGGCATGACAAAATGACTTTTTAAGTCAAGTCTGGTAAGTGCTTATAATTCCATTATGTGAAATATTTCTGTAATAATAATTTATTTTGTAATTATAAAATGATAAAATAAACATTTTTAATTTCATATTAAATCATGCCTTGGTAAATAGATCTGAAATTAAGCAACATTTTTAAGAATATTCTATACAGCTAGTAAAATCAAAATTCTAAACTAATATGGCCCATAATTGATCATATTTAACCCTTTTGCTACATCATTCTTAGGGTAATCCTCTCCTCAGTGAGGAATTATTGATAAAATAAAACAAAAATTATCATGAATTAACAGTGAAAATAGCAAGTTAGGGAAAAATAGGCAAAGAATTATAGGCTTTTGCTTCATCTGTTGTAGGCTTAGAATAAGTCATGTGCTTTCTGGTGTTTTTTTGAGTTGAGTTGATAGCTAATTTTTAAGCTTCCCTCAGTTTTGTAGAGAGCCAGATTCTGGTCCTTGCACCCAGTAGATAATTTTGGGCCCTCAAGAGGCCTGGAGCATCTCGCTAAGGTTTGGCTGAACCACCACGTAGCTCAGACACTTTCCCCAAAAGATATAGCTGCCTTAGGACTTGGTAAAATAAAATAAATACATGTAGGCAGTGGTGTGGTGGCCCCCAATACCCCATCACCATAATGGATATACTGTATCTGCTGTATTTGCATCACTGACAATCGTTATGTGTTTTCACAAGTTCATTCAAGA